CCAGAAAAAAGTTCAAAAGCAGGGCTATTCAGGATATGGCCCGTAAACTGCTTAACACCAATCCACCACAACATAAATACAGCAACCAAGAGGAAGCCTTTAGGAACCTTTATAGCAATTTAAAGTTATCACGACATCCAAGGGCATGATCACTTGGCTTGCCTCACTGAATGTCTCACAGACCACTTTGGATGGTGCTGGGCTACACGTGCAGCAGCTGCAAACTCGCTGTACAAAGTAAGTGGGACCATGTTTTGGTTTTGCAATCTTTTGGGAACACTGAAAAAAACAAAAACAAAAACACAAAAAGTGGTCCTTCCCCAGATTTAGTCTGAGAAAAACTTAACTTTGGAAAGCAACCCCCTTACTTTACCCAGAAAGCTGAAGTCCAAAGGCAGTAAGTGACCTTCTCCCCATGGCTAATGACAGAACCCAAGAGTAGGAGTAGCATAGAAAACAGGGTGAAAGGAAACTAACAACCACACTTCTCACCCTCCTCCTCTCAGTCGGTGGACCTCACTGAAGTCCCTGAAGCAGTAAGGGCTGTGGGACCCACACTCTAAATGAGTCAAAGGCAATTTCAGCTTCATGGTAGATTGCTCAGGCACAGTATTTCCATCCAGCTTTCAGAATCTCAAATCCAAAACATCTAACACCAACATGTGCCTTTCAAAACTAAGCTCCCTTCCCAGCTAGTCCATTTCTGACCCCACAGCCCTCCTCTGTCATTGCTAGATCCCGGAAACACTGACTTATTGAAAACAAACTTGGCATGTTGAATCTTCCTTCAAAGTCCCTTGAGGTTTTCTGAGCCAGAGAGAAAGCAAATGTAAAGTGCTGGGTGCATCTGGGGTGAGGATTCTGTCTGCCATGTGCAAGTTCACAGCCCCAAACACAACGCTTAAGTCAAAAGCATTCAATATATAAAACACAAAAGCTGCCAGTGCTGGCTTTTCCACTCAAAAGTTATAATTTTAGGTAATAGTTCAGTCAATGTCTCTTCCAATAGTTTCACGAGATCAAATAATAATGATTTCTCTTATTTTTCAGGACCTAATGCTGTACCTAGAAAATGATCAATGTTTGGTGGATGTTGAAAGACAAAGGTAAGAAGAAAGCGGGAGAAAACAGATAGGGATGGGGATAATCGTCCTAGAGAGTACAATAATCTACAGATTTTAATCCTCCAAGTTTTCCTTGCCTCCTATTTGCCTAAAGGCTTCCTAATCTAGCTACTTCTCCGAAGCTATAGAGACACTGAGAACAAGGGGGAGTCCTCAGCTAACTGCCAGATGCCCGGGTGTGAGAGGAAATGAGGCCGAAAGCCCAAGAGGTCAAGGGTAGGAAAGAGGACTTAAGAGGATTGGGAGACCCAAAAACTGAGCCAAACCATAGTCCCTCCCATACTCCCTGCCCCCACCTCCATCCAGCCAAACCATTTGCTGCAGCCGCTGGGGTATGGGAGGGGACTTGGCAAGACCACAAAGCCCATTTCTAGCAGAAACCTCCACCTGCAGCTGGAGGGAGCCCAGTGCCCAGGCCCCTCCTCACCGGGCCCAGCAAAAAGGCTGTAGTCGTCCTCACGGTGGTCCCTGAGGGCAGCTCCAGGGCCCCTGCACCACTGTGGACAGGAAGGCTCTCCCTTCAGCTCACTCATGTGTATATCATACAAGGTTCTCTCCCTCTCCCATGACATTCAAAAAGGGTGAGGGTCACCAAGGGAGATGGAGCTGAGCTCTGGACTCTAACTTCAGTTCTTATCAAGGATGGGGAAAGCCCCCTCTTCCTCTCCATCCTCAAATTTAACTGTGGAAATCTCTTGCTTAGTTCCTTCGCTTCTCTAGCTTGACAAGCTCACCTGCTTCCATATCTCCCCAAGCTGGCTGCTGCTTATAAACACACCCGAGAGAGAAGTGGCTGGAAGTAGGAAGAGCAGGCAAGAAAAAACTAATGGGAAGGACCCACAGTGTATAGAAAGTCAAGGATCACAGGTCCTTGAGAACAGGGAACTTTTTGCAGTGGTCAAAAGGAGAGACAGAAGGCAGAGATCCTGGGCACAATCCCAAAATAGTTTCCAGACATCCTCAGCCAGTCAAGGGTTCCCATGGGGCAGAGTGTGGGAGCCGTGTGGGAGCCTTGAAAGCAGGGCGGCCCGGTGTTCTCGGCACTGGACACTCACTCCTCTCCAGGCTGCCAACGAGGAGGTGGCAGCAACAGTGTCTGCTATAGCATGTTCCTTGAGATATCATGGGTAGACACGTAATGCACCAAACAATAAAACGTCAACTTGCATTTACCAAGCTCAACTCTGTGCCTATGCTAGGCACTATGTGGACTCATACACACATCGTAGGTATTCTTGAAACCCTGGCAGGACTTAGCACACAGTATACGTGTCTATTCCCACTGGCTACTAGATACCATTCTCCCACGGAGCTTCCTCAACCAGCACCCATCTCGTGGGAATATATAGCTGGTGACACCCCCTTTGTCCTGTGTCCCAGAGTCTTGGTCTGATCTCACACCAGACCAAGATGAGCTCACCTATCAGACATATCCATCTTACACCACGACCTGAAAATGGGAGCGCCTCTGGCAAAACTGCCTCACCCTGGGTATATGGGACACTGCAGCCAACTGGCCACCCAAGGAAACTCTATGTGTGGAGGTGGCACCAGGGACAGAAGACTCAGACCTCAGTGTTTGTTGGCAGTGCCTGAGCTGCATATGATTCTCAGACAACTGAACAATAAAAACAAGCAGAGATACAACCTCAGAGTTTTAAGAACTCAGCTGGCTCAGGCCCTACTCTGAGAAGGGGGAAGGAGGAAGACTTGTTAGGAAGGCTTCCTCTGGATTTTCAAGTAGCCCTTGCCACACGTCCACAACACTAAGGGCTGGGGTATTAGGCTGGGAGCTTCCAGCAGGACTGCGGAAAACCAGCCTCCATCTGGGGCCAGCAGGCAGGGAGACACGGAGAACACACTTGGAAAGAGCTGAAGAGAAGCGGGTCTGCCAGGGAGAGCCATCACTACAGCGGAAGGGGGTGCTTTCGGGAGTAAACAAACCTGCCAGCCCGTCCTTTCTCCCAGCAAAGCGGGAAGCTCTAGGCTGACAAGGCTGGAGATACAGAGGAGGGAGGGGCCTGCCCCCTCCCTGAGTCCATCTGTCCTCATCCCCTTGGCCTGCTTTCCCCAGGCTGGGAGACAGAGCAGGTCTACTCTATGATCTCTGTGCCCACACCCCTCCAACAGCACATGAGGTGATTACAACTCCTCCAGGCAGCAGCAGGAGGCAAGGGGAGGAAGCAGAGGTGGAACCTGGGGGTTCTGCTCCGAAGAGTGTAGAAAAGAGTGTGTAGTGAGAGTTAGCTTGAGGTGAGCTCAGCTCTCTCCTCCCCACCCACAGTATCACCCATATCAACTGCCCTCTGTCACCTCCGGACCTCCCACCACCTCATCCCAGGTGATCATCCACCACTACTCCCAGTCTCATCAAAGCACACCCACTAGACAGGGGAGCCGATGTCCCCTGGCTCTTCTCCTTCCCAGAAGCTGCTCTAGAAGCAAAATTCACACCTTTCCCTAAGCACTTCCTTGCCTCAAGTTCCTTGGGACAAAGCCAGAGAACTATCCAGGCCCTCCTGATACACCCTGCAGCCTTGCCCAGAAGCCCCTATCCCCCACGTGGGAAGCAGAGCCCCTCCCTACCAGGATCCCTATCCAGTCAGTGAGGTGGCAGGATGCCACTTCCAGCACCTCCATGGAGCTTCCCACAGCTTTCCCAGGGGGTGGGAAGAGAATTTCCAGGGAGGAAACTAAGGGCATCTGGGGACACTCACAGCTCACCCACCTGCTACCCAAGCAACCAAGATCCCCAGCTCCCTGAAGACTCCTGCGGCTGAGGGGGTAGGTGGGCTGAGGCAGGGGCAGGAACACGCTTCCTCTCCGCTAGGAAGAGTTCCATAAGCCCTGACCCTGCCCACCTGCCCCATGCTCCCTTCCAGCCTCTCTGCTCTTGGACTTGAAAGGCAGCCACACAGAGCCACCTCCCAATCTGTTTTCTCCGCCCTGGGCCAGCAGAGGATACTGCTGAGTAATCCCAAACTCACGGTGGCTCCCTAGCCCTGAAAAGGGGGACAAGCTCAAGGAAACCTACTGATAGGATCCATGCCAACCTGGGAGGAATATCTGTGATTTCCTAGTAATGGCTGATACTCCAATGGACTCTCCCCTCCCCTGCCCCAAATACCCCAGCTCCCCACCCCCGCCAGACAACCACAAGGAGAAGCTCAGTGCCCCCTTCTGTGCTTCCCACGCACCTGGGAACACTCTCTTCCCAGTCCCCTAGACACTAAGTCACACAGAGTAACAGCAGACGCCCGCCGGATTCTCAGTCATGATGTTGCATCAGCCCCCACCCTACCCAAAATATCCTCACCCCCACCACCTCCTCTCCTCTCCAGCCACCCCGCGTCGGTCCCATGTGACATGCCAGGCATGCGGACTCAGATGACAGCGCGCGCGAGCGTAGTGCGTGTCAGAGCTGCGAGGGCGCAATGTGCTCGGCTCCGCTGTTACGCGCCGCCGCCCCCACGCACACTTCCCGCCCCTCCGCCCCCGACCGCGGGTTCTGCAGATTGGATGCAAACCAACAGTGCTAGGGACATTCTCGAGAGATTTCCAGAGGCAGGGGTGGGGAGTGGGTTGCATGTCTTAAAAAAAAAAAAAAACAAAACAAAAAAAACAGTTCAACAAACCAAACCCCAACTGCACCCAAAACCATCCAGCTGAGAAAGCAAAAAGAATCCAAACAAAACCCACACAGGCCTGAGAATTCATTGGCCGCCCACACCCCCGCCGCCCCTCCCCCTCAGCTGCTGCTACACACACAGTGGGAGATTAAGGGATCACCAGAGGAGACCCTTTATTTTTATCCAATCCGGTCAAACACTTCACCGCCACCACACACACGCACACGCACGCACACACACAAGGTACCTTGACAGCCGCTCCTTGTCCCCACGGCCCGGCTCCTTCACCAGCCTTTATTTCCACCTGCAAAAGAAGCCAGAGGAACGTCTGAGCCAGGCGGGTACCGGGAAGGCAGCAAAGTCCTCCTGCTACAGCCCCCCAAGCCCGGCCGGAGAGGAAGGAGGCGAACGGGAGGGGATGCAGCCTGGGAAAGAAAGGCTATCGGGGACCATCTTCCTGCCTCCAGCTGCCGTCTGGGTCACAGCAGACGGGCTCCTCCGCCTTCCAGTGTGTTTTTGTTTTCATTTCTCCTCTGAGAACCCCCCTCCCAAGATCCGAGAGGACGGTGACCCCCGGCCCGCGTCCGCCCGGCCATCCCCGGCCCCGCGCGCTCTACCTCGGCCGGCCTCCTCTGGTGCATCGGCCGGCGGGCCTCCCATTATCCCCGCCGGAGGGAGCGCGCGGAGGGAGGCACTGCAGAGGAGGCGGCGGCCAGCTGCCGGCTGCGCTCCCCTCCCCGCCGCCGGGCTGGTGTGCGAGGGGGCGGCGCGCTCGCTAGCCAATCCCCGCGGCCGGCCCTGCCCCCGCCCGGCGGACCTGCCCAGCTGGGAGGCGGGGGCGCCTCTGAGGGTGCTGCTGAGCCGCGCTGGCTGCTTCCCAGGCCCGCCGTGCGGCTCCCCGGCAGGCTGGGGCATCCCAGGGCACCCCCGGCCTCCTCCCGCGGGGACCCTGAAGGTAATACCCAGAAGGCATCGTCTGCGCCTCCAGGATCAAAGATGACAGACTGCGCCTCCAGGCGGAGCGGAGCAGACGCTGGGGGGATTCCCGCTTAGCCACTATCTAACCCCAGCATCATCCTGGCAGAAGCTAGGACGGCACCGGACCCTGTCACAAGGGCATGAGGTGCAATAGCCCCTTCTTCCTCAAAAAAGAAGAAAAAGTCCAGGCAGCACGAACCTTTACTCCATTCTGCAGATGAGGAGATAAAATAAGTGAAACAACTTACCCAAGGTGACGCAGCCAGGAAACAGTAGAGCCGGGACTCTGAGCCAGGTCTGTCAGCTCTGAAGACCATACTCTTAAAAGCTATGCAGCTCTCTGCTCCTCCCTGCTCCAGCGCCCACCTCAGAAAACAGGCTCCTCGGAGCCCACACCTCCTGTGTCAACCCTGCCCTCCTCCACACACACAAACACCCACACCTCACTCTAGGATCACCCCCCAGCCCCGCCAGAACATACCCATCCAAGACAGCCTCCCCACCAACAACCCACAATGGGTTCTCCACTCTTGGAGAGGCTACAGGAGGTAACCCCCAAGATCCCAAGGGTCCCCAGACCTCAGGGCTTCCCATCTCTGGGAAAGGCAGAGGAGGGGAGGTAGCCGAGACCCCAAGAGCTCTGGCCTTCCAGTTTCCAGACTCAGCCTTTGAAAGCTGCATCAGGAGACTGAAAGGAGGGCAGGATGAGAAAGAACAGAGAAGGGAGAGATGGGCCCTGCAATTCGCTCCTGGATTTACTTCCTGGGCCACCCGGGGCACATCATTCCCTACCCCAGTCCCTCCCTGTAGCTGAACACCCCAGAGCTTCTACCTCCCAGGAAGTGACTTCCACACACTTCGGTACCCACAAACTCCAGGCTCCATCACTAGCTAGTTGTAACTTACCTCTCATAGACTCTCTCTGCTCATCTTATAAAACCAAACTAGAAATAGCAGCTACCTCATCCAGTTGTGAGGATTCACTGCAGGTGAATCAATTTCTGGAAGAGCTCACTGGGTGCTCCTTCTCATTCTCACAGATGAATAAGCTGAGGCCAGGGAGAAGTGACTCACAGGATGAGTTAGGATGTTTGAGATCCCCTGACCCAGTGATTCGCTCTCCTACCCACTACACCACAGATGCCTAATTGTTGTCCCCTCCCCAGGGGCCCAAAGTGGGTACTCAGAACAGGATGAGCTGCCTTTGGAGAGACAGGAAAGCTGGCCTCCAGTGAGGAGACTCCAGGAGGCATCAGGGCCCACATCTGCCTCCCCCTATGAACAAAGGGTAGCTCTCCTGGGCTCCTCCCAGGGCAGGGAGGGAGGCAGGTGGCAAAGCATGGCAAGGAACAGTGTCCTGAGCACGGGTCAGGTGGAACAATGGGTTTCTGTGCCCCTCAACTTTGACAATGACCAGGCCAAGTGGAGTCCCTCCTTTATCCTGGTCCCCAAAACTCCTGCCCTCACACCTACCCCCCATACAGTCTGCTGCTGGATAAGAGAGACAAACACTGCTTGGACAGTAACAACTAGTAGGATTGCTGCAGCGGCTGCCACAGTTTATCAAGCCCCTGCTACATGCCAGGCCCTGTGCCAACCATGTTGTAGGATCATCCTCATTTGACTTACTCCACATACAACCTCATCTCTAACAGGGCAACAGAAGGACTTCGCGATGTTAACTTACTTGCCTGTCAACACAGCTGGTGAGTGGTGGGCTGGAATTCAAATCTAGGTCCTTCTCCTTCCAATTCTCTAAGTTCTGTCCGCCTCTGCCAACCCCAGGGAGATACAAAGAAGACCGAGGTCACTTGAACCCAATCACTTCCCTTTAAGCTATGGATCTAGCAATGTTTTCATGCCTCAGAGACTTCCCGGTGTTGCTCTTTCTGCCTGGATCCCTCTCCACCTCCCCCGACCTGGCAAGCTAATGTGGTACAAGACTTAGTTTAAACATTGCTTCCCCCTGCCAGTTTCTCAGATCGCCAAGCTCCCATGAGCATCATCCGCTCCTCCCAGGTCCTGACAGAGCAGTGTACTGCTTCTTCCAGGGCACCAGTCACAATGAAGCGTAGTTATTTATTTACACGGCAGTCCTCCCACGTGGGCGGGGGCCCTGTCTTCCCTACTTTTCTAGGCTCTGCACAGAGCTGGAATGTGCTGAGCCAAGTTTCTACACAAGGAGGGTGGAGAGGCAGGGGGCTGGGCACTGAGATGTGGAGGCCCCCCTCCTGGTCAGTCTTCTCCCTGAGATCCTCAAGGTTCTGAGGGACACCCGCTGTCCTGGGAGGGCAGGACCTGCCAGAACTGAACTGTGATCTACTCCCAGACTTGCTCAACCAGCACCTATCTTCCTCAGCAGCCTGAAGGAGCCACACAGCCCAGTTCCCACCCCAACTCCTGGCTCCACTCACTTGCCTGTGTAATTCAGTCCTACCCCAAACACAGGTCCCCACCCTGCCCTCCAGCAGCCCTCGGCTACACCAGAGAAGCAGCCCAGAAGAGGAGCCCATAGTCCCCCAGGCAGTCCACCTGCTCCCGACCCCATCTCACCCTGGCCTCATTCCCTCTTCTGAGGCTCGTGGAATGCCTAGGCTCAAGGGAGTCACAGGGGTGCATGCTAGGGCTACTCTGCCTCCAGCCGGTATGCTCTCCACTCCCCTCTTGATCCTCCTCCCATCTCTATTTGCCCCCTTTTCTAAATTTTGCACTTCACAGTGACCACTCACAGGTACTTAGAACCCCTCTGCATGGGGGCCAAGGGTCCCTCCCCTCCGCACCTTCCATCACAACCCCCAGACCCTACTGTGCTCCCAGCAGGAGGAATGGGGCCACAGCCCTCCCCACTGGAGAGGTGAATGGATTTACTTGCTTCCAGGACACACAAAATGTCCTAACACTGAGACCCTCAGGAACATGGATACCCACAGCCTGGATTCCACACAGATATTCAAAGACCATGGAACACAGACATGACCAGACACATTCTTGGGGGGATTTACAAGAAATCAACCAAGCACCAACCCCACGTCAGGCCCCATACCTACAGCATGATATGCTGTACATCTTACTTAACTCTCTAAACAAACCAATGAGACAGGAAATATTTGTGCCCATTTAACTGATGAAGAATTGGGATACAGAGAGGCTAAGTACCTTGCCCAAGATCACATAGCCAGAAAATGAATGCACAGGGTTCTTGCCACCCCTTCACTTGCAGCAGCACAGCCAAGGCTGCTGTGTGTTGCTCTATGATTTTCATATCCACCTACCTCTTCTAGAGCTGGTAGAGGGTAGAGAGAGACAGGCTTCTCATCCTCTCTCACCATGGCTGTGTCCTGAATGAGGTCACTCTTCACAGGGCTTTACTTCAAAGCTCAGTTTAAGCCCTGCTTCCTCCAGGAAGCCTTCTCTGATTACACCAGTCTTCTGCCAACCAACAGCACTTCTAACATTTCTTATCTCACCCCTGGTACGGTTATTTGTCTCTCTGTGTGTCCTGCATCCCCAACCAGAATGACTGGAGCTGTGCCTCTCCAAAGCCCCTGCAGGGCTATGCCTACGTTCCACACACTGAAGGCACTTGGAATTGACTATGAGGGAAGTCTGTGACCTCCTTTTCTCTCCATCACACAAAGGATCCTGCCAAAAAAAACCCAACACCCCCTCCACCTTCAGAGCCTATGTTTGAAGTCCCCGGTGTCCACGCATCAATTTCCACCCAAGTAATTGCCGCCCATCACACACACATCATCCCCTATATTTGAAACTCTTTGCGGTTGTCATGGGAACTGCCTTTGCCTTCATTCACTGATCAGGCCTCACAATTAGCTTTGGCAGCGGAAGTCTGTGTCAACGACAATCACAGGGAGGAGGAGGCTGAGGAGGAGGAGCAGCAGCAACAGAAGAAAAGATGCTCCTCTCCTTGGAGATGCAGCAGAACCAGACTGAACCAAGGCACCCAGCAACACTCAAGGGAAACAAGTCGGAGCCAGCCAACAACTCCATCTTCGTGCTTCCTACCAGCAAACAGCATGCATCCAGGGCCTCCCAGACTGACAGGTAGCAGGTGACACTCTGCCTATACCCTACATGCCCTTCAAGATGCTTGTGAAAAGGTCTTATAGTCTGTGAACCTCGTCACGGTCTCCTCGCCCCAAATTCAACAGCCTTGAACCACCAAATGTTCTAGGACCTAAGCAGGTAACAAGCGACTGTATGGCGCTGTTGAGAAGGTGGGACATGAATGCTGAGCTAGAAACCTGGGTATAGCCCTAGCAGAAGACTTTCAAGAGGAATTAACACAACGCATCTAACCTTCCACCT